TCCGTCGAAGAAAAAACACCTTGCTGCTAAATAGCGAGATCGACCTGGCCCCGAGGAATAGGGATCTCAGACATGCGTCGCCATTTTTGCATGACGCATGTTGCCTGCATGCAATGAGATTCTCCGAGCACAGCTCTTCAGTTTTGCATCGACGCGTGTTCGAACATGTGCGGTTGCAACTTGGCCAGCTCATGATTGCGAGCCCGTTGCCGCTGGAGGAGTTGATGGGTATTCTCATCATGAGTCTGTGGGCATGTTCGCCATCGGTACGCGATTAAACAAAGCCAACTCTACGCTCCAGCAATATGAGGCTGACACAATGCTACAGAGCCCCGAGTATGTCGACAGTTGGCTGTTGAGTGGGCATTGCGCTCAGCAGGCGATGCTGAGCATCAACTTCTCAGAAATTCTGATGAGAACAAAGGCGAGGACTTCGACAGAGGATGACCAGAGAGTCGTACGACTTTGGGCCAATACATGCCTAGTTAACCTTCAGTCAGTTTGTTCTACAACATCAAGTCTCGACAGACTACTGACCTGCATTCTTTAGTTGGGCGGCTACTACAGGTAGGCCAGCGACCGTGCCTTCTGCGTACTTGGCACAATGCAAGCTCCTCCTCAACTTTGAAGAGGTGACCATGCGCGACGCCATGATGTATGCGGAGATCACATTGTACCTTATCCTGCAGGACAAATTTTCGCAGCGCTCGTACCTCGGTGCCGACGGGGAATGTGAAGAACTTGCGGCGTGGAAATTGAGGTGGAACTATTTGTTTGGTGAGTATCCAAGCCGACGATGTCAATACCCGGCTTCCACTTTGGGCTATGAACATAATTAGGAAGACAATTGTCAATGCCGATCACTAATATTGTGATATCCCAGAACTACCCGCGGCCTCGACATTGAGGATAAGCCATTCCATCGCGTGGCTAATTCTCGCCCGACGCTCACTTGAGCACGACCAGGCCTCTTCGGACGACGACTCCCTGTCAAGCTCGCCGAGGTTACAGCCAGCTGATGCCGTGCGTCAGGAGCCGCCTGCTCACCAGAACCCAGAGCTCCACGACTTGGCGCATGCTCGAGTATGCGGCTTCGCGACAGAGGTGGTGAGGGCGTTCGTGGAGATGCCATCCACTCGGGCAGAGGAGCTGCCTGAGTTCCATCGGCTCTGTGTCGCGTACGCCATGCTGATTATTTCCAAATATGAGCAAAAGCCGCCTTATGGCGGCGTAGACAGTGGCAATTACGGCGGCAGCCATGAAGTGCTGCAATTGCTAAAGGCGGCGCAGAAGCAGAATTCGGTGTGGTCGGCCAGCTCGCCGTCTGCGATTCAATTCGGGTTGGAGAGAGCTTTGAAGAAGGTCACCGCGCGGGTTGAGGGGACGGGCGGTCCGAATGTAGCAAGCGTGGCGGCGGCGGCGGCGGCTACGCCCACAACAGCCATCGTCACGGACAACCGCGCGCCGCACAGGATCGCCATGGCGTCGCCGAGCAGCCTTAGGGAGCAACAGGTAGCTGCTGGTGGTACGCCGGCGGCTTGGGGACAGCATCATCAAGACGCGAGAGGACAGCAGCAACAGCCACCGCCGCACCCACAACAGGATCATCCATCCTCGTTCAGTGGCACGACAATGGTGCCGGAATTTGATGGGTCATTCTCTTTGGAGATGATTGATAACTTCTTCAACGGGGGACATCTCAGTCTCGGAGACCCCTCACTCTTCTAGATATGTTTCAAAAATGAGAACGTGCTCCAACCGTAGTGCACTGTCTTGCTGTATAGCTCCGTAACATTGAGAAATTCGTACGAAAGAATCGTGAGTCTGCGTACCTGTTTCGGTACAAAGCAGCTTCTGCGTTCCCCCTTCCGTTGTCAAGAAACACTTCCCTCGTCAAACGAATGCCAGGTCTTCGCACTCCGCATTGATAGTTTCTGTGCCATTTTTTGTCTCGTTGCTGTTCCTCAACGCATCATCGGTAATCGGACTGCTGGGGTTCTCGATGGGGGGGCGCTTTGAGCTTGTCGTAAACGTCGCGCGGGGAGGGTTTATAGTATCCCGTCGGTCGCCATTGCCAATCTGCTCTTGTCGGCCCGTTTGTTTTTTTCGCGGTCATGATCCTCGAGTCATCTTCGTGCCCGCTCGGATTTTGCGTTTGGACAGGTGCTTCGGTATTGCCATTAATTTGTCAAACGTCGTCTGAGGGGAAAGACAGCGTTAGCAAAGTTGCGTCACCCGCGAGCTTCCTGCATGATTCGCCACTGAAATCACCCTATCCTAGCTGCGCTTGCCAACCAACTGGCAAAACTAGTCTGTAAAGACTTGTCCAGCCAATCGACGGCCAGACTACAGCTCGCAGCGTCCTATAATCGACCGTATAGATTCTGGCAAAAGGGCTGAACTCTGTCTCGGATGTGGACGTAGAGCTTCCCTCAGGGTGCCTCCGACCCGGCAAACGTGGTTTGTAGTCGTACGTCAAACCGAAAGTCAGTGAGAGAAAACGGATACCATTTGCCTTTTTTTCTGATTGTCCTCGACGACGAGCGAGAGCCTACTCTCTGCCGTGAAGTGACAGACGAGGAAAAAGAATGGATTGTTCTGAGAGGTGTGCATTGACCAAACTCTTGGACACTGCGAAAGCACAGAAAGGGCTGGGAGAATGATTCGTAGTAACCGACAGAAAGCCGGGAGGTCGCAAAAAAAGAATTGATGCGCGGCACCGGGTTCGAACCAGTGCTGTTTGGGTTAGCGAAGTTCTCAAAATCGAGAAGATATCAACCTACTTTCTGCCTGTCAACGGAAGTGGGAGGGCAACGAGTTAACCACTACTCCAACCACGCCCCGAGTTCATTGTTTGTTTGCTGGTGAGATTCTGAGAGTGAATGCTGCCTTACGAAGGACGCGGGATGCCCATGTCGGCCAGAAGCAGGGCTTTTCGTGACAGGACGTGACGCGTCGTTCTTTCCATTTTCGCTCCGTTTGCAAGCAGGCTTTTGCCCGAGTAGGCAAGGACCTATGCAGTCTCCCCAGAAAGAGCCCTCGTCGCCACCAATTGCCATCCTTGTTGCCTCGAATTGTTTGCTTAATCTCCCGCCTCTTTTCCACCAAACTATTCGTAACGGTCCATGCCTCTCCGCTGGCCGTAATGGCGGTCTACGCCAAATCCGAACCGACGGCTGTGAAGATTACAGCAAACAAATGGCGAAGCCTGCACGCAGTCTGTTAGGCGAATCTAGGAGGATGCATAGCGCCCTTATAGCGCCCTTGTATTACAAGCGTCGCCGTGCCAGCACGTTGGGCTCCTTAGACCTCGAAACAGCTTCTCGAAGATACCCGGGAAGAATCACAGTATTCTGATATCGATTCGGAGGTTCGGGTTTGAATTCGTACGGTCGGATTGGCATACAAGAAATACTATGAAAGACGATCATCGCGGTTCACGAGAAAAATTAATTGAAGACGAAGATGGATTGTGCTTAGATGGCCAGCTTTCGGGTTTGCCAACTTCAAAGGACGTTTTGAATGGGGACACTGCGCCTGCTGATTTGTGCAGGTCATCATCGTCGGGTACGTTGACTGTCAAAAACGACGAACCGTACAAAGCATCAACAATAAAGGCCGCAGGTCTGGTTTGTGCAAGCTGGCGAGTTTTGCATCAACAGTTGCTTCTTTTTGAACGAAACACGCGGTGAAACAGATGGACAGCGGGCCGGCGGGTTGATGTAGTTGAAAAAAGGGGAGAGACGCGCAATTCGGGCTTGGGCGCCGTTATGACCGGTTTTTTCATCGGAGGCGGGCAGCTCCTCCGACGTGAAGTTGAAGAATCGCGATACCGATGAGGCTTAGACGACCCATTTCAAGCCTAAGGACACAACGAATCGGCCAATTACCTCTTTCGGAAGTGGCATCCTTGCACATCAGAAGCCTATCTGCATGTCGTGGGACCCTACTTGGACACTTTACCGTGCTAGCGGCGCTCGTGCCTGCCGCCAGGCACTCCAACGGCGAGGTTCGTTGGAAGAAGGGGAGATGCTGGTCAGCAGAGGGGATCGTGCTCACGTGCACGTCGAACAAGCTCGAAGAGGTGTGCCACACAGATCATGATAGAAATGACGACAGTTGACGATTAGTAACAATTGCGGCTAGAGTTCACGGCTTCGTGTAAGATGATAATGGTGGGATGCATGTTTTGGGAATGTGCACGGGAAGTTTCTATTGACTCGATCTCTGGAACTCTGATGCTTGGACTTAGGAGCGGAATTAACGTGGAGGATGGGGGAGTTGTTAAGTTTGATTCTAACAACAGAAGGATGGGGTGAGATGGGATGGATCAGCTGCTTGAGACGGCAATAACGACACCAACAGGTAAGTTTGGGCCGTTTTTCAAGTTCTTATTTCCTTACACAGTAGTTTGGTGGTAGACACATGACCAGCATTGTTCGCTGTGGAACCTTCAACGAGCTTAGTCACCCAAACAATCAAGCTGGCTTCCCTGTCACAGACAGCCCAAAGGTTTGCTGAATAAGGTTTGATGAGCCACAAGATTTTGCGGGCCCTGCGGAGAATCCCAGCACTTCCAAGCCGCAGGTGCCGAGCAAACAGTGGAACACCCGCTGAATGCCGTCCGTCCAGGCCCTGCAGGACGGCGGCGACAGCACCGTGAGGTGAACCTCGAGGCCCACTTTCGTCGTCCCAGGGTCGCACCACACACTGAACAAGGTCCCGAGTAAGGTGTCGGAATGGCTCCTAACCTTTTTGGTGTTGAGAATAGCCTTTTTGCGTCGCCCGCTCATTTTACCTTACCTACCTTAGGACGCAGTACGGGAGGTGCTTTCGACGGCAAGCGCTGTCCATCAACGTCCCGCCTCCCGACCCATCCTAAGAACTACATCTTTCGGCCGCCTCGTGCTCCGACCTGCACTTTTGACCCGAACATGTCGTGAGCCCGCGACTCCTTTACTCAGCTGCACAACGCGCTTTGAAGAACAACTTATGCGACCATGGGTCTCGGCGTTTTAGAATCAAAGTCCTTGGACCATGTTCCAGGTGAGTCCAAGTCCAATTTGTGCTTCAACCACCCGCTCTGTCCTCCTGTCATCCCAAAACTGACGCTGTCAATCCGCTCACAAGGCACGACGCGCTACTTCGACGACCCCGACCGCCCACAGGCCGCGACCAACGCTCATCACGGATTGAAGGTCGATAACAGCGGAGATGTTCCCATTATTTTGGTGAGCTACTACTTCAGGAACCACATCGCGACCCGCCACCCCCGCTGACAGCCCTCCCCTCCAGATTCCCCAGCCCTCCGACGACCCGAACGACCCCCTCAATTGGCCACTCTGGAAGCGTGACCTCATCACCTTTGTTCTGTCCATAACCGCCATATTTGCCACGGCTCTGGGTCCCATTCTCGCTGCAAACACCGTTACCATCGCGCTCCTCTTCCGCAAGAGCTTTACGTCCATCGCGCTGCTGACGGGCTACTTCCTCCTTGGAGTAGGCGCCGCTGCTATCTTCTTCGTGCCCTCAGGACGTGTATGGGGGAAGCGCCATCTTTTCATCCTGGGAATATGCATCCTCATTGGGTCGTCCGCCTGGGCCGGCGCCGTTGGCACCAACTACAACTCTCTCCTTGGCGCCCGTGTCGTCCAGGGCATCGGCTGTGCTCCGTTCGAGACCCTTGTCAACGCTGCTGTCGGTGATTTGTACTTCGTACATCAGCGTGGCTCGCGCATGGCCTTCACCAACTTGGCCGTTTTCGGCGGTGCCTTCTTCACACCCATCGTTGTTGGGAAAATTACCCACAGCATCGGCTGGTGGTGGACCTTCTACCTGGAAGCCATCTTCTGCGCCATCATGCTGCCTGCCGTTTTCTTCCTGTGCCCCGAGACGGCCTATCGTCGCGACGCTGCTCTAAACACCGACATGGTAGCCAACACCAGTGACCACGAGATGAAGAATCTGGATATGAACCACGGTCATGACAAGAATTCTGCCGATACGACGACGCTTGTGCCTGGTATGGCCTCCAACTATGGCGCACACATTCCCGAGAAGACGTTTATGCAGTCGCTCAGTCTCTTTGATGGCCGCAAAACTGATGAAAGCTACTGGAAATTGCTTTTGCGCCCGTTTCCACTGTTCGCTCAGCCAGCGTTCCTCTGGGGCTGCCTCGTTCAGGGAACCATGATCGGTTGGACGGTCTTCATCGGAGTCATCGTTGCCGCCATTTTCCTCGGACCCCCTTACTACTGGAATGAGGTATACGCCGGTTATGCCTACGTGGGTGCTTTCGTCGGAGCTCTCGTGGGATTCATTATTGCAGGTGTCTTCTCCGACTGGAGCGCCAAGTTCATGACTCGGCGCAACAATGGCATCTACGAGCCGGAGTTTCGCATCGTCATGGTGCTCCCAATGTTCATCATTGGGGGCATCGGCCTGTACGGCTTCGGCATCACCTCTGCAGGGCTTATCAGCAAGGAGTTCCACTACAGCATTCCTCTTGTATTCTTCGGCTTTGAGGTCGCTGGCATGGTAATTGGCGCTGTGGCCAGTTCCCTCTACATTGTTGACGCCTACCGTGATCTCGCCATCGAAGGCTTCACTTGCATGATTATCTTCAAGAACATTTTCAGCTTTGGACTGACGTACAGCGCCTACGACTGGATCATTGCCGGTGGCACCAAGCGCACGATGATCGCTATTGCCAGCGTGCAGGTTGTCGTCTGCGCAACGAGCATTCCAATGTGTAAGTGTCATCTTAGCCCAACCCTTTAAATCGTGAACTGACGAGGATCCAGATATTTATGGAAAGCGTGTTCGTGCCTACTTCCACCAACACGACCTGCTCAAGTTGACTGGCCTTCGCTGAAAAGCAGGCCAATTTCCTGATATCGATCTACTTTTACATATTCATTTACAAATGGGGCACTCTGGGCCCAAGACAGGGCGTTATTTAGTTAGTGCTTTGGCACACGCATCTACCCGTCACCTAAGATAGCTTCACGCCTTCGCGCGTTGACGAGTGACCGTACATTAGTACCATAGTAATGCTAGTTTCTCTAATTTACTTCGATGTGCTATAGCTAGGCCTGTTTTGTATGAGCAAGAGTATGGAATCACCAAAAGCCCGCCACGAACAGGTCCGTCCCGGGCAGAACCATCACGGAGGGCTTCCCTCAAGGACGGCCGGTCGGTTGGTCTCTTCGTGCATGTATGGCAGTAGCAAGCGGGAGTGGATCTGATTTGGAGCTTCGAAAGCTATTCGTACCCGACCAAGCCCATCCCCATCCTGGCCCCTCCGTCCAGAAACAAGGTCCGCTCCGTGCCGCAGAGGCTGACTATCCGCCACACCACACTGGATGTTTCCTCAACCCCTCACAAAACACAGAGCATCAATCAGATTCCGCAGTGGCATATCTCGCTCGGCCTATGAATCCCCTCTCTTCTCCCCTCTCCACCAGCGCGGGCCAGCGCCCCTCCAATCCACACGCCCATCTCTGCACAGTCCCTAATTCCGTCCAGTCACACAAATCCACGACATACAACGACGGCAGCTAATCACATGTGATGACGGAGCTCGCGCCTTGCTCTCGGGCAATGGAAAACAGCAGCAGATCCGCTGAAAAGAAAAGAAGAAAGTATTTCTCACTCGTTTCCCCGGGTATAACTATGCTACGCTATGTTGGGTGTTTGCGCACGCGCTGTGTGTGTAGTGTTGACAGAGAGAGTGTATGTGTATCTGCAAATTCCCTACTCCTTCGGCCTCCTTCAAGGTCCGTATGCTAGTAATCCTGAGCCTCCGCAAGCAATGCACCGAACTTCCGATCCCGAAGAGATGATACAATCCGACAGTATATGTTTCATGGTTTTTTGTTCTTTCTCACACGCTTAGAAAAGGCGTCGCAACAATAATTTGGCCGTTTTTTGGTAAGATGGATTGGGGGTATATGTCGGTCATGTCGTGGGAAGAAATATACTGAAGATAAATAACAGAAAAAATCAAGAGAAGAGTCAAAATCAAAATCAGAATAAAACACATCGCACGCTTTCGTCAGTCGGTAACATCCATTCATACAGACATGTCGTATCATCCAGTCCACTTCCGCCACCAACTGCTGCGGGGCGTGGCATCGGAGAACATGGCCTGCCGACGGCGCTCATCACTACCTTCGGAGCCGCCCCCGGCGCCGCCGCTGCCGCCGCCGCTGCCGCCGCCGCCAGCATATCGCCGCTCACGCTCTTCACGACGGGCTTTGCGGCGGCGATCGTCAGCCTCGTCGGCGGTACCTTCTTCGTACCGGGCCCGACGACGTCGTTCTCGTCGCTCGCGGCGCATCTCGTCCTCTGTCATCGGGACGGCCTCCGCCTGACCACCGTCTTCCGGGGGAGGGCCTGCATCGGTATGCTCCTTGACCCACGATGAGGTACCGGAATGAGGCCAGGCGGGCTTCATTTCCTCGTCACGCCTGTATCTATGGCGGGACGAGGCGAGGCCTTCGTCACCGGATTCTCGCGTGGACCGCCTGCGACTACCGCGATGGCGGACTTCTTCGCCATCCGTCTCCGCGGCGGCGCGAGCAGCACGTCGTTCTTCCCGCCTGATTCTTCGGGCCTCGTCTTCGTCGATCGCTGCCGCGTCGCGCTCCTCGCGGGCACGGCGGCGTTCTTCTCGGGCCGCTCTCCTGGCCTCCGCGTCTGCCTCTGCAGCGGCGGCAGCCTCACGTTCTTTGCGACGACGTCGTCGCTCAGCTCGCTCAGCCTCGCGGTCATCCGCAGCTCTGCGCTCTTCCTCTTCGCGCTGGCGTGCTGCGCGGCGTTCTGCGCGTCTGGCTTCCTTTTCATCGCGGCGGCGAGCTTCCGCGTCATCTTCTTCTCGCCGACGACGGCGCTCACGTCTTGCCTCGTCTTTGGCACGTCGAGCCTCATCCTCATCTTGCTCGACGAAACCAGCAGCCTCGGCTTCCCGTGCGGCACGGCGGGCGCGACGAGCAGCGCGACGCGCCTCCTGGTCCATGTCCGTCATTGCTACGGCTTCCGCCTCTTCAGCTTCAGCAGCGGAGTCCTTACGACGGTGCTGCCGTCTGTTGTCATCGTCGGTTGCATATGTATGTCGCCTGCGCGGTGGTTCTGGGCGGTCCGGCTTGGGTGTTCTGAGGCCGAACAGGCCACCGAGGCCCTTCTTGGCACTTGAGCTGGATCGCTTCATGGGTGGCGGCTCAGGAACATCGGGCGTCGCGAACTCATCAGGATATCTTTGACGTCGGCGGGAGGACTTTGGGGGGCTGATGTCTTCCCCATCCCCATTTGCTCCCATCATGACAACGTCTTCGTCGCGCCTGCGACGCCGACTGCTGGATTTATCGACGCCGAGCACTTTGGCCGCCTTGGAGGACATCGGGGGCGCTTCCTCTGGAGGCGGGGACATCAAGCCACTGGCATCAACCGAGTGTCGACGCGACGGATGTCCGGACCCAAGCCGCCGATCCCGAGTGGAGGTTGAGCGAGAAATGGGTGGCGTGCTAAACATGGACGTCAGCTTCGGCCGTGCTGGCGCCGGCGCTTCGACGGAACGGTCGGCCTTATCGGAGCTCGAGCCCTTGGAAGAGCTCTTGGTCCCCTGTTTTTCCGCAGAAGCGTGTTTTCTTTCCCGCCTCTCGGACTTGGACTTTCTTTCCCTATCGCGATCACGGTCACGGTCACGATCACGATCTCGGTCCCGATCTCGGTCCTTGTCACGAGAGTTGGAAGCCGCCCACGTGCCCCACGAACCGGAACCCTCGCGGCTAATCTTGGTTCGGTCTTTCCTGGAAGATTTTGGCTCAGGAGGAGAAACAACCTCGATCTCCTCGGCAGGAGGCTGTTCTTCAGGCTTTTCCACTTCGAGGTCTTCAACCACTTCAGGATCTTGAGGCTCTTCCGGCTCGTCGACAGGAGGCGCTTCGGGCACTGCAGGAGGAGGTGGCGGCGCCGGAGGCGGGGGTATATCCTCGGCGAGAAGGTACTTGTCCTTGTTCTTCTTCTTTTTCTTTTTCTTCTCCACAGGCGGCGCCTCAATTACCTCAATGATTTCGTTCTCGTCCTCTTCGGCAGGAAACGCGCCAGGAGGTTCTGAGGACTTGTTCTCGTCAGCGTCAGCGTCAACTACGACCGGTTCCTCAACTTCAGGTTCTGGTTCAGGTTCAGGTTCAGGCGGCGGCGGTGGCGGAGGTGGTGGTGCGGCTGCTGCTTCAGCTTCGAGGCGCTTCTTCTCCTTCCTCAGTCGCTTTCTTTCCTCCTTCGTCAGCGGAGGCGGAGGGACTGGCTCCGGTTCTGGTTCGGGTTCCGGCTCTGGTTCCGGCTCCGGCTCCGGCTCAGGCTCTTCTTCGACAATTGGTTCCGGCTCGTCCTCTGGTTCTTCTGGCGGCGGCGATGGCGGTTTGGCTTCGAATGCTTTCAATCTGTCAGCGATCTTGCTTCCCTTAGCCTTACGAGCCGTAGACGGTTGCATCCAGGTCGAGGCGTCGTTGCTTATGGCGGAAGACGTGTTGTTGTCATTCCAATCGTTGCTCGCACCTTCTAAACAAAGATGAGTCAGCACTGTAACACGGTGGGATGCATCTCATTTCAATAGTCTCGATGAGGCTTGGTAGTGTGCTGGAGTGGTGTGAAGGGGAAATTGGGGGTTGCCTGAGGCCACTTACCATTTTTGGACGCTTTTTTGCCGCCAAGTCCCCAGAAACTGAAGGCATCGAAGGCAGCCTTGGGTTGCAAAATTGGCGGTGATACCGGAGGCGGAGGTGGTGAAGCGGGTTCGGCATCGGCCAGAAGCTCCTCCACTTGCTCCTCGGTGAGTTCAATGTCGCCAAGCTCGTCGTCCTTGTCGATGTCGTCGATGACATCTTCAGGCTGCTCCTCCTCCTGTTCAACTTCCTCTTCTTCTACTTTTGCCTTTTCCTTGTCCTTATCCTTCTTGTCTTTCTTATCCTTCTTTTTGTCCTTCTTATCCTTCTTTTCCCTCTCTTTCTCTTTCTCCCTTTCCCTCTCCCTCTCCCTCTCCCTCTCCCTCTCTTTCTCCTTCTCCTTTTCCTTAGACTTGGACTTGGACTTGGACTCCTTCTCCGACTTGGAACTCTTCTTGGACTTCTTGGCCGCTTCCTCGGCCTCCTCTCGCTCTCGGGCTGCCTCTTCCTCGGCCTCCTTAGCCGCGGCTTCCTCGGCCTCCCTGGCGGCTTGCTCTTCGGCCTCTTGAGCTAGGCGCTCTTCCTCCTCGATGCGGGCAGCCTCTTCAGCTTCTGCGGCAGCTGCAGCTTCCGCTTCCGCCGCCGCTTGGTCCGCATTCCGTTGGTCGATGGCCTCCTTCAACCGATCGTAGGCTGCTTGATCTTTTTTCGTCAATTTGCCCTTTTTGAGCTTCTTAGCCTCCAGAGCCGAAAAAAGGTCTTCTTCTTCGGCGATCCTTGCCGCCTCCGCCGCAGCTTTCTCGGCTTCCTCCTCCTCAATGCGAGCTTTCTCGGCAGCTTCTTCTTCCTCAATGCGGGCTTCCTCGGCAGCTTCGGCAGCGGCGGCCTCTTCCGCTTCTTGAGCAAGGCGCTCCTCCTCTTCCCTGGCGGTTTGCTCGGCGGCTTCTTCCTCTTCTCTCGCCTTCCGCGCTGCCTCCTCCTTCTCGGCCTTCTTCTTCTCCTTTTCGAGCTTCTTCAGCTCCTTCTCGCTCAGCTTGGGCTCTTTCTTGGACTTCTCCTTGTCCTTGTCCTTTTCTTTGTCCTTAGACTTGGACTTGGACGAAGTCAAGTCACCCCAGAAGCTGGATTTGTCTGGTTCTGGTTCTGCTTCAGGCTCAGTCAGGTCCATTGTGGGAGGGGTAGGAGCTGGCGGTGGAGGGTCGGCAAGTCT